TAGTGACTGAACTCCTTTGTCTGACACTTAGTTGTTGGTGCTTGAAGTTACCTTATGTGAAGGTTCAGTGTAATGACTACTTCAGAGGAAATCACTGTTTAAGACCTGCAGCAAGCAAGTCTTCAGAACTATACAGCGGAAGAAATAAATCCAATAAAATGAGCACCTTTAAGGATGTTTAGGCTGGTAATAGCCTTTCAGACATAAACTGACTTGTCACACTCTGTCTTGACAAAAACTACTAACTTGTTTAAAAAGAAAGCAAGTCTCCAAGGAAAGTAACACTAATTGTTAGGCAGTTATCCTGAAGCACCCAGAAACTAAGTACACACAACAGAAAGCTTGCTGCAACACAAATCAAGGAAGTTTTAACTATTTGTGTTCACCGTGAACACTACAACAAGCTCATTTTTCTCTCACTTCACTGTCTTATGTTAACAGACAAACAGCTCTCAAAATCCCAAGTATTAATCAGAATCAGCAGAGGATTCTCTGCCTTACACGAATGCCATCTCAGAGGCCAATACAACGTGACCTTAACACAACTGTTCAGATTATGCATGAAAGACCAGAATCCGAAATTCAAGTTCACTGAGAAGACTGCTTTCACTGCCTAAGGAGACAGCGCCTCTATGAAGATAAGCAGCTGTCGACCATTAGGTTGTGAACTTGCATCTAGCTTTTCAAACACATGCCAGAGCAGACACAGATCACAACAGCCTACAGTTCTTTGACAAACTATCCTGGTATTTATCTCAGAACTTTTGCTCCAAATCCCTAGGTTTTTCTCTTTAAAGACATATATGCATTAAATTTTTATTTCCTCTTAAAGTCACATCACTGCATTGTAGGGTGTAAACAAGAAAATGCAATTGCTGGCTAACTGCAAAGCTATTTCACATTAACTAGCAAGACACTCCTCATACATACCATGTAGACTGGTGATACAACTAACAAATGCAGGAGGTTATCTACAGATTACCAGCTAGCACATCAACACTCCAGCACAGTAGGGAAGTCACATTAAACCCATGTTAAGGGAACAATCAGTCATTTTCAGGTAAGTCATTTCCCTAAAGTGGAATTTACACAGTACTGTATTCAAGCATAATAAAACAAAAACACTATAGAAGACATGCAAGAATGAAGAGCTGACTACTAAAAAGCACTGTCACCAGTTAAAAAGAAATTAAAGACAGCCAGACTTCACTTCCTACTGTCAAGTCCATAATCAGGAGAAAGTGATTCCAGCTTCATGGAGACAGTTATTTTGCCATATTTAAAGTTATGACTTGTCTCCACGATCTTCTAACCCATTGTCTTTCCAACTTCTATTACTAGTTAATTTACCCCCAAAAGCAATACTGCTAGTCAGTAGCAACATGTAATTGGTCTTAATTCCTACCTTTCCATTCATATCTCTGGCAGCATCTTTTGCATCTGCTGGACTCTCAAATGTGACAAATGCAAATCCTCTGGACTTGTTGGTTTCACGATCTTTCATCAAAAGGACTGCAGAAATAAAGCCAAGTTACCCTTTCCTGTAATTAGGCAGCAACACTTAACCTTTATTTAACCCTTTAAGCTCAGAACTTCTTAGAGGACATGAAAGCACTATCATTTCAGATGATCAATGCCAAAAAAGTCATCACAGCTATGTTGTTGCTTTTTATTTTCTATTATCTTAAAATAAAAAGGGTTTTCTCTTTACCTTCCACAATGCGTCCATATTTGCCGAATACAGCCTCAAGGGCTTTTTCATTAGTCTCTGTGTTCAGGCCCCCAATGAACAGTTTCCCAGGACGATCCGCTTCAACCATTTTGATTCTGCAAATGACCTATTAAAAGCATTGGGTTGTTATTAACAAAACATCAACAGAGACTTCCATACCACCTCATGGAATACAAATTACTTCTTTCCTCAAAAGTACAATCAAGTTTTCTTGAGCAAGATATCACTTAAGAGATATGAGGCATGGAGAACATTAAAAAAAATAAAATTTTTAGACTGAAGCAACCAGAAGTTGTACCGCCTTCTGTTACTTATTCACATTATATAGTCTATTTCAAATAAGTTAACTTTAAAACATGGAATGAAGCACGGATGAGAACTCTTAAGATCAAGTAGTATTGGTGAACATGAAAATTTTTCAGGATTACTGCGTTTTTGCCCTCGATAGGAGTCCTAGAACTCCCTCCCTTTAAATCCTGACGTGTTTCAAGAAATTTACTTAAAATGCCACGAATTACCAAAGTATTAACCTTAAAGTCAGCTTGTGCCAATCAAGCTCATTCTTTAAGTCATTTAAAGCACATCAAGACTATGCCAGAGTCCTGGCCTACACAACGTGTCAGTCTTGAAAGGACACCAGACCATCACTGCAGTTCCACACAGCATGGCCACAGCTAAAAAAACGGAGACAAAGCAAAACCTCAAAGCTCCTGGCAAAACGCCTGGCGCTTGTGGACAAACGTTACCCGCATGCCTCCAGCCCAGTGGCGGGAAAGCCCGCAGCAGCGTGCAGGGACGGGCTGCGCAGCTCCCTCAGCACAGGGGAGAG